AGAATTTAGTATTAACTAAAAGTAAATATCAATAGAAATAGAAATTAATTAATCTTAAGGATTCAGTTTATATTTTTCTACTTGTGGATTTAGATTACGAGCAGTTGGAGGTCGTACATATCGGGACATATTGGATTATTAAAACTAAAACAAATGACATTATATGATTGTAAAATAAAAAAAAAAGGAACAAATTACTTTTTAACTACTTGAATTGGTATAAACAATAAAAAAAATGATATAGTTTATTCTTATTCGATTATTAGTGGAATGATACATACTCTTTTATTACCAGTGACGGTATGTAGAAGCCTTTTGTATTTTTTTTTAATATACATAACTCAGAATGACCACATGCTTATACAGTAGATACTTATCTTTATTTTATTCTTTACTGTAAATCCTTTTCTTCCACACACACATCCAGAGTCAAAACAAATATTACTTACAGATAACATTCGTTTTCTTCCGTTCTGCGCGCACGTATCATACATATGAATTTAACTGTTCTGTTTTATTCAAACATATTTATGTCTTAATATTATATATTTAATTTTCCACTATCTTATACAATGTGTGAATACATTTCTTTTCTGTTGGTGGGGAAGCATGTTACACTCATATTTTCATATGTCTTCACACATTCTTTGGTTCTTTTTTTTTCATTTTTCTATTTTCGTTATTTATTCTAATAAAACAAAATCTAAACAAAGTCGCTCGTATCATGTCTCAAATCAAATCATTATCAGACAATTTAGTTTCCTCGTGTTCCATTAATGATACTAATATTAGTCCAGATCTTCATAAAGAGTATACCAAAATTTTGAATGATATACAACATCAATTGTTTTTCGATCCACAATTAAAGTATCACCATTTGGAGTACATTCTCGAACGTCGACATACCATCGAACATGGTTTTGTACAAATGTTAATTGACAGAATCAATCAATCAAATCTAGATTTATCTACTCGTGAACGTTTATTTGCTAAAATAAATCAATTAGGTACCAATATTGAATATGTCGACAGCAGCACGAATACAAAAATTTCATTTAATGCCAACAATGATTCTGATGAAGAAACAAATAATGATTATGAACCCGATTATACTGACACCGAGTACGACTATTGTGACGACTTGGAAAATGAATTACTTGATCAAATAGAATTCGAACAAGATTATAACACATATTGATCATCAAACCAACTAAACTTGCAATATTATTCAACTTAGTCAAGATTTCTCTTTCTAAATCAATAATCATCGTTTTCCTCTTACTTTATTTCTTCTACGTATTTCAGTTCGGTATATTAATAAAGATACACTATAATACTTTCGATGTCACATTCAGAATCTAAGCACATCTCTGATTATTCACTTTTTATTTCATATTTGTTTTGTTTTATATTAGTGTTAGTCCGTCTGTACGACTACGGGAGAAAGACAAAAATTGTATATGAGTATAACTCGTACATTTAATCTAATTCAAGGAACACGTGTCCTTACAAAAGAAACGAATAGTATATATAGAAAAGGAAAGAAGGAGAATATGTAAAATATGTTTACATTTTAGACTCAACGTATCATCCTTCATGACTCAAAAGAAAAGAAAAGAAAACAAAAAAGGAACAATGTGATTATATATCACATTTTTAATAAAATCCACATAAGAAAGAATGAAGACTCGAGTCATCGCTAACAATTAATAATCATGTTTTCGATCACCGCTTCATAATACTCTTGATTATAAAATTTATAAAAAAATCGAAACCGGTCTTGGTAGTTGTTCACACCACTGCCTTTGTATTT